GCAGAGAGAGTCAATTATCATATGGTTTCACTTATTTGTGGAGCATAACAAATAACATGGAGGCCAAGGGGAGATGGAGAGGAGAAGGGAGTTGGGGGAAATTGGAAGGGGAGGTGAACCATGGAGACTATGGACTCTGAGAAACAATCTGAGGGTTTTGAAGGGGCAGGGGGTGGGAGGTTGGGGGAACCAGGTGGTGGGTATTAGAGAGGGCACGGATTGCATGGAGCACTGGGTGTGGTGCAAAAACAATGAATACTGTTACACTGCAAAGAAATAAAAAATTAAAAAAAAAAAAAAGGAAGAGCAGACTATTTGCTGGAAGTATATCAGGGGAGCTACCGGTATCAAAACCTGTCAGAGTCGGATACCAAAATTTTCCCCCTGTTACTGCTTTCCTCGCTGTTGGGAAGACATTAAAGACCGATGTGGTTGATGATGCAGAGCTATGGTCTAGTCAGCTCTAAGAATGTGTGGCTTAATGGCATGTATATGGTGGTACTTCATAAATAGTATCATTGAGGGCCAAGTAAGAGAATTGGAAGGAGAAGAGAGCAGGGTCATTTCGGGGGAAATCGAGGAAGCCCTAGCCATGATAAAAAGTCTATTAGAAAGTTTGTGACTTTTAAGACATTTCCAGTTTTGAAGAATTGATAGTGACGAACGTGAAGGTTGCTTCTAGAAGGTGAAGTTAAGGTGAAGGAATGTGGCAGCGACTCAGTATGGACCAGATTTTCTCCAATTTTAGTGAATCATCAGAGAACTTGTTAAAAATGCACATCGTGAGCAGCAGGTCTGGGATTCCGCATTCTGACCTATCAGGTGATGCGAAAGTCAAAGGTCCTTGGGTCATGTGCTCCGTAGCAAGGGTATAGACACCCACATAGAGACATCTGGAAAGGCCCTGGATACTTCAAGACACCATAGGATCAAGGGAAAGCATTATTTTGTTTTTATTTGTGAGCATGTATTTACCTAGAGGGGAGCAAGGAGATGCAGAAAGAGAAGTTACAGATGTAAGATATCAGTGCTAAATAAAGAGGAGAGAAATGGTAGAGATAATCCATAATAAAAGGGGTATAAAAGAAGAACAATCAATACCATAGGTCCAGCAATAGCTCTGTTGTAAGGATTTCTGTATTTATTCTATGGAGAGACAATGAGAAAGACAGAGAGTGATCAGGGGGAGGGGCAAAGGGAAAGGGAAAGGGATTCCTCAAGGACACTGGCTTCTAGGCCTGGAGGCAGATGCGGGACTCTATTGGGGACCTTTCCATCGTGATGGGAGCTGAAATCAAGAGCGGGATGCGCAATCCGAGGCTCCGTTCACGTGCCCCCAGAAATTACTTTTTTTTTCTTTTTTTCAGAAATTACTTTTGAAGAAGGGACAGTGATGGGATCAAGGGAAAAAAGAAAGGCACATTAGCTGAGAAGTTTTGGAGTTGAGGAGGAAACTCCAGAGAATTCACTTTAGATGGCTTGAGGGTATTTGCACTAGAACAGATTAAATCACAGCAGTGCCACAAAGAATACTGAAAGCAGATGGAGTGCTAGACATGGGGTAAATCATAGCCACGTATTCATCCTCCTTAGGTCTATTGGACATCAAAGATACGGGTTATGTTGGTATTCATTATTCAAATGAGATATGGAAGCTATGGCTTTTTTTGTTTTTTTTGGGTTTTGTTTTTTTTTTGTAAAGATATCTAATTTTTTGATATGATAGCTGTTTCCAAAAACCCTTGAAAGACTGATATGATCTACCAAATCAAAGTACTTTTGGAAACTATAGAAATACAGGATTGGTTCCCTAAATGTTAAAATTTTTATTATCAGTAGTGTGACACTAATTCTGAAATACATATTTTTTATTTTAATAAATAGAATCTTTTAAAAAAAAGAATTAGGAGAAAGTAATTTCTTTTAGGCTGTTTTTAGCATTCACTTGAGAGTGGGTGGCAGGATTATATTTAGAAGTTTGTGCCCAGCTGGGAATACTAGGTAGAGGTCTAAAGATTGCTTATTGAAAACAAAGTTTCTTAGCTTTATTTTTATAGCCTAAAATTCACAAGTATTGGTCAAATTATATTCAATGTAACTAGAAAAAGCAGCTTCCCAAACCAAATATTAAAATATTTCCTATATTCTCTATGACTTTATTTTAGAGTTGGCTTTCCCAGCAATAATGGGAATCTGAGAATTTACTATATAGTACCATCTTCTCAACTATGTATGCATAGTCTACCTCCTTGCTTTATTATTTTTATTTTTTTTTAGAGAGCAAGAAAGTGGGGAGGGAGGGAGGGAAGGCAGAAGGAGAGGGAGGGAGAGAACCGCAAGCAGCAGGCTTCACGCTTAGCAGGGGTCTGATGTGGGGCTCGATCTCACAACCCTGAGATCATGACCTGAGCTGAAATCAAGAGTCAGACACTTAATTCATTGAGCCACCCAGATGCCCCTTTATTATTATTATTATTCTTGTTATTATTACTTAACGATTTTGTTTATTTGAGAGAGATTGAGAGAAAAAGTGGGAGGAGGGGCAGAGGGAGAAGCAGACTCCCCACTAACCTGGGAGCCCGATGGAGGACTCCATCCCAGGAGCCAGTCATGACCTGAGCTGAAAGCAGCTGCTTAACTGACTGAGCCACCCAGGCACCCCCCTTCATTAATTTTGATGAATAAGTGGAATATTGTTTTTTTTTTCAATTTTTAACATCATTTATTTTTTATTTATTAATCTTTTTTTTTTCTTAATTTATTTTCAGCATAACAGTACTCATTGTTTTTGTACCACACCCAGTGCTCCATGCAATCCGTGCCCTCTCTAATACCCACCACCTGGTTCCCCCAACCTCCCACCCCCCCCACCTCTTCAAACCCTTCAGATTGTTTTTCAGAGTCCATAGTCTCTCATTGTTCATCTCCCCTTCCAATTTCCCCCAACTCCCTTCTCCTAACTCCCCATGTCCTCCATGCTATTTGTTATGCTCCACAAATAAGGGAAACCATATGATAATTGACTCTCTCTGCTTGACTTATTTCACTGGAAGAGATGATGCTGAGTGAAATAAGTGGAATATTGGTTTTAAGGAGTACTATATCATTTAAAAATAATATTCTCCTGATATACTCAGTCTATTGATTAACCATATCTAATGTGTGCTCTACTTAATGTACCAGTTAACTCAGGGCCTTTCATCAGTCATATGATCAGATCGGTACTAATAAATTGTACAGTAATTTTTTCACCCCTGTAGTTTTATGTTCTTTCTTTACTTGTAGAATTAACACTATATTTTCAAAAGATTTTCAATTATTTCCTAGAGTAGTGAATGCAGACAATAAATTCAAAGTTATTTACCTATATAAGTGACTTGTTCCTGTTACTTCCTCATGAGCTTGGTAGGTCCAAGAAGCAGGACCTTTAAAACAAAGCACCTACAGGCTCCTGTAACACAGGAAGATATGGAACAGAAAAATTATAAAATAAATACATGAAACTTAAACAGTTCATGTAGACTAATTCCCACTTGATGCCTTTTATAAAGTAATGAGCAAAGTTGGTGCTAGGGACCCAAGATTGTGTGTGTATTCATTTAATATAGATTTATTCTGTACTGGCCCTGATAATTTTATATCCTCAATATTTCTAGAACGATTCTGTCAGTTCAGGTGTGCTTCATCTTTACTTTGCATCAGTGCCTTCTCATTCGTCTCCCACCTTTTATTACAATGCCCCTCAAATTCATCCCTCTCCACAGCATTTAGAGTGATGTGTCTCAAACGCAAATATGACTGGGAACCATTGTTGAAAATATGTTTGTGTCCAGGTATCTTAAAATTACATATAAAGCTTTCATAATTTTGAGTTCTGCTAAGCTCTCCAACCCTTTCTACTGTCTGCCCTTTTCTCTGGCATTCTGAACTGCTTTTGATGTCTTCCCCTTTGATTCCTGTATTTTAGACAGATATTTACCCTCTTGTGTGTTTCTCTCCCTTGTCTTACTATGTGCTTGTATACTCCCCCCATTTTCCACCCTCTAACCCCTTTGAATCTTGCTGACCTCAGTGTTGCTGTCTCAGTTCAGGCATTAGCTCTACAAAATCCATTCCTGACACCTTTTATCTACACGCTTCTTTAAACCTGGGTGCCTAGCACTTACTGGGAACTCAGTATATAATTACTGAGTAGAATAAAGACTGTTTATACAGAGATGATTTAAGAGATTGTCCCATTAGGCAAACCTGGGGGGCTCAGTTGGTTGAGTGTCCAACTCTTGATTTTGGCTCAGGTCATGATCTCAGAGTTGTGAGATCAAGCCCCATGTGAGGCTCAGTGCTGGGCGTGGAGCCGGTCAAAATTCTCTCTCCCTCTTCTCCTTCCCCCCACCTCTTAAAAAGAGAGAAAGAGAGAGATTGTCCCATACAGTCCAGTAACAAAAGGAGTATATATACATAAAGAAGTAACTTACAGTTCAGGTGGTGAAGATGCACTAGAAAAATCTGTATAGTACTAATGTAGCCCCAAAGAAAGAGGTCTATTTATCTAGGGAAGGGTAGCCTTAATCAAGGATGACTTTACGTAGCAGTCTGTGTCCTCTAAGATGTGAAGAAATTTGTCAAGTGTAGAGGAAAACATTTTAGGAATGTTTACATTCATCAGGGAAATACACCCGTAGGAAGGTTATACACTGATACAGGCATAAAAAATACTAGTAATTTTGGAAACCATGAATAATGTAGTTGAAGCTTAGGGTGTTGCTTAAGAGATGCTGTAAAGAATAGTCTGTTGTGATTTTATATCTTTCTGCTGCATTTTAAAAAATTTGTTTCTGATTGTTTTGTTCATTGGTGTTAGGTGGGTGAATTTGTGAATGATTCTTTGAGATGTTTGTATGCCTTTAACCTAGTGACATTTAGTATTTCCCAAATGGTTTGTTGAAATATTTGATAATTTAAAGTATTTCTTAAAGTAAATATTCAGCTAAAGATTAATTTAAACTCTTAATTGATAAGATGTTGTTTTCTATTTTTATGAAGGTTATAGCTTTTATCTAACCATTCTAATTTGTCCATTTTAATGAAATATATAGATTTTTCAGCAGAACTGGACTTAGAAATGTCAACAGAAAAAGAGGAAGAAAGTCTTAATGAAAGTGAAAATAAACACCTGCAGGTATATACAAATTTAAGTTTAAATTTCCAGTTTTATATTGTTTTCCCTGCTTTAAGAATGTAAGATAGTTCAAATGAAATTATCTTCTGAACAAAATATATTGAAGTTGATAGATTATAATTTAATATTTAGTTTTTGTAAAATTTTACAAGTTACCAAATTTAAAATATTGTTAGAATTTATAGTAGCTTATAGTTAAATTTTATCCTTGGAATTGGACCAAAAAAATTCCTGAATATTGTTTGCTTCTTCCATTTTTGTAAGTTTTTACATGTTAAAAAGGTAACATCAAATACTGAACCGTATGTTTAAGCAGTTGAAATTATGAGCAGTATAACAATGACGACTACTGACTTAGACTCATGTAGAAGGAGTGATTCTTAGTGGTTCTTAATGTGCAGTTCTCAGTGGTTCAAAATGTGCAGTTCTGTTTTGCCAGTCAGTAATGCCAAGATTAAAGGTTTATTTTGCCTTGTGATCTCTGTGTAGTTGACTTCAGAGAGTAGGGTCATAAAATCAACACAATTGCCTATCATAGAATCACACCTTCCAGGATGGGACCTTTGTAGTTGGGTAATAAAGAGGCACATTTTCAGTTATTTCATTTCAGTATAGGGAATCTGTAAGTATTATTAACATTTTTTCTTATCCACTCTCAGTGGACATTACAATAGCTGGATACAGGCAGATCATTTATGGTGATGTATAATACTATCATAGTATATAATTTGAATTAAAATTTAGGAATTTATTTTTCTTTCTGATTGATGTTTATTGATTTTGGCTCCTAATTATACGTTTGCCTATTCTCTAGTTATTAATCTTTAAAAAAAATCCTCAAATGCACTAGGGAGGCTCACTGTTTAAGGTATGGTAAGATAAAATGTTTTTAAGTTTGTAACATTGAAAATCATGTAATTCATTTTTTGGTAGATGTAACATGTAATGAATTATTTAGTTTAAAAAACTGACAAAGTTAAGTTTATGGATTTGTGTTTTTCTTCTGTTTCAGCCTAGGACAAGTTATTTTTCGCTTCTTAGTTACAATCCAGTGACTTGGGAGCAGTTTAACATAGATTAAGAATTTTAACAGTTAAATTTTAATTATTTTCTAATTTTTCTTTGTCCATACTTGATTACTTAAGGATAGAGTTATATTACAAACATGTATGCTGACAGAAAGGACATCTGAAAATCAAATACAGCACTTTAACTTTCCATTTTTGTATCTGTCAAAAATGGCCCAAGAACCAGGAATGAATAAGGAATGTGATAGAGAGGATGATATATTTTTATATTCAGAACATCCCTCTGTTCAAAAGTGTGAGGACATGTGGACCAAACAAGACAAATTAGAGTGGAAAAATAAGTTAAAACTCATCACCAGAGAGTTAAAGCAGAAGTTTGGTGAAATTTGTGAAAAAAAAAACAAAAAACAAAAAACAAAAACAAAAACAAAAACAAAACCAAAAAAACACAAAATTACTGCTTACCCTAAGGAAGAGTCACTACATGGTCCCTTTAAAGAAGAAGCAAACTTAATGGAAATACCTACTAATTTGACAAATGATAGACTTGATTGTGAGAAAAAAGATGCATTTGCAGTGCCTGTCTTTGTTGCACTTCAGGCATTACCTGAATAGAAAGAGTCTAGACTCGAAAATGTTGTTCTTTCTCATTCATCCTGGGATCAGAGTTGCCGGTCATCTTCTGATCTTTCCTTAAGTGAAAATAAATCAGACTCTGAAAATGATAACAAATCAGACTTTGAGCAGAATTTTAACAAAAATGAATTTTGATAGTGATAGAGAAAATAAAAAGGTAAGGAACCCACGGGTTGCGTTTGAAGTGAAAGAAGACCAAGAGTTTGACATGCAAATGGCAAAAAGTATAAACCAAACTAGTTATTTTAAAGATTTTATTTATTTGTCAGAGAGAGAGTGAGAGAGAGAGAGTGAGACAGCGCGTGCACACAAGCAGGGGGAAGTACTGGCAGAAGAAGCAGGCCTGAACTCTGTCCCAGGACTCTGGGATCATGACCTGAGCCCAAGGCAGATACTTAACCAACAAGGTACCCATGCGTCCCAATTCCTCTCTCTTTTTTTTTTTTTTTTAAAGATTTTATTTATTTATTTGTCAGAGAGAGAGAGAGAGAGTACAAGCAAGCAGAGTGGCAGGCAGAGGCAGAGAGAGAAGCAGGCTCCCCACTGAGCAAGGAGCCCGACATGGGACTCGATCCCAGGACCCTGGGATCAAGACCTGAGCCAAAGGCAGTGGCTTAACCAACTGAGCCACCCAGGCGTCCCAACCAATTCCTCTCTTTTTATTGAAACAGAAATGAAGCAGAATTTATAAAAATTGCAGTTCCTTGTAATGATAAACACAAAATATTTTTATCAATTAAAATTATGACAAACTAAGAGTCAAATGATATAATTAATGAAAAAAAGTTCTGGGATGCCTGGGTGGCTCAGTTGGTTAAGAGCCTGCCTTTGGCTCTGGTCATGATCCCAGGGTTCTGGGATGGGGTCCTGCATTAGCCTCCCTGCTCAGTAGGGAGCCTGCTTCTCCCACTGCTGGCACCTCCTCCTGCTTGTGCTCTCTCTCTCTGATGAATGAATAAATAAAACCTTTAAAACATGTATAATTAATGAAAAAAAGTTCATTTTAATGAATAAACTAGTAACGATTATCCTTCGTATCAAACTTCTATTAAAGATTGAAGAAACGGAGAAGCACCAAAATGATGAAATGGCAGTATTGGAAAGCGTATATGCTTCTGCTGCTGCTGGACTAATGCATCCAATAGGGAGTGGAAAAACTGATAACAACCTATGTCCTATTACGGAAAATGAAGAATCTGATGGGTAAGCCTATAGCAATATTTAAATAGTAGGTAATTATTATTTTCCTATAAAACAAATTCTGGTTGGAGCTAACATTCATGATTAACAAATTTTATGTTTTTTAGTAAGGTTATTTCATCTTGGATGCTAATCAGAAAAATTTAAATAATGAGATACCATTTTTTGCAATCATAGTGATAAATATTTTATTAAAAAATTAACAACCAAGGTTAGCAAATGTGAAGAAAAGGGCATTCTTATACACTGTTGTTAAATAAAATTGGTAAACCCTTTCGGAAGGGTGATTTAGCAGTGTGTTTCAAAAATTTTAAATATTGTATGGACTCTGAAAAACAATCTGAAGGGTTTGATGAGGTGGGGGGGTGGGAGGTTGGGGGAACCAGGTGGTGGGTATTAGAGAGGGCACGGATTGCATGGAGCACTGGGTGTGGTACAAAAACGATGAATACTGTTATGCTGAAAATAAATTAAAAAAATGATAAAAAATTTTTTTAAAATATTCTGACCCCTTATCCCAAGAACTTCATTGCCAGGACTAGATCCTATAGGAAAACGTGACTTGTGTAAACGCACACACACACACACACACACACACACACACACACACATTCTAAGGACATTTATTATACATTTATATATATATAAAATATGACATACGTTAAGGATATTTATTATAGCATTATTTTCATATAAAAAAGTTGGAGATAGTCTAAGAATCTGTCAATAGGGAAGTAAATTTTCACCCCTGTAAAACAATGTAGTATGCGACTGTTAGAAAAAATGAGTTTAGGTCTACAAGGTACTGATTGTTTAACAAAGTATATTTAAAGTTTTTGGTTTGATGTCATGTTTTATGCAAATTTTAGAATACTTTTATTTACTTATTTATTTTTCTATCCCAGCATTTCTTTTTCTTTCTTTCTTTTTTTTTTAATTACACTATGTTAGTCACCATACAGTACATCATTAGTGTTTGATGTAGTGTTCTGTGATTCATTGTTTGTGTATAACACCCAGGGCTCCATGCAATACATGCCCTACTTAATACCCATCATTGGGCTCACTCAACTCTCCCACCTCATTCCCCTTTAAAACCCTCAGTTTGATTCCCAGAGTCCATAGTCTCTCATGGTTCATCTCCCCCTCGGATTTTCTCCCCCCTTCATTTTCCCCTTCCTTCTAATTCCTCCATGCTATTCCTTATGTTCCACAAATAAGTGAAACCATGTCATATTGTCTTTCTCTGTTTGACTTATTTCACTCAGCATAATCTCCTTCAGTTCCATTACATTGATGCAGATGTTGGTATTCATCCTTTTTGGTGGCTGAGGAATATTCCATTGTATATATGGACCATATCTTCTTTATCCGTTCGTCTGTTGAAGGGTACCTCTGCTCCTTCCACAGTTTGGCTATTGTAGACATTGCTGCTTTTTTTCACTATATCTGTATCTTTGGGGTAAATACCCAGTAATGCAATTGCTGGGTCTTAGGGTAGCTCTGTTTTTAATATATATAAATATAAATATAAATATAAATATAAATATATATAAACTAGCTCTCTATATAATAAATATATCTAACATATAGATATATTAGACTATCTCCAACTTTTTTATATGAAAATATTATATGATTAGATATTAGATATTAATATATATTTATATAAGATTTTTATTTATTTATTTGGCAGAGAGAGATCACAAGTAGGCAGAGAGGCAGGCAGAGAGAGAGAGGAGGAAGCAGGCTCCATGCTGAGCAGGGAGCCCCATGCAGGACTCGATCCCAGGACCCTGAGATCATGACCTGAGCTGAAGGCAGAGGCCCAACCCACTGAGCCACCCAGGCGCCCTGTTTTTAACTTTTTGAGGAACCTCCACACTATTTCCCAAAGCGGCTGTACCAACTTGCATTCCCAACAGTGAAACAGGGTTCCCCTTTCTCACATTCTCTCCAACACTTGTTGTTTCCTGTCCTGTTAATTTTGGTCATTCTAGCTTGTGTAAGGTGGTATTTCAACGTGGTTTTGATTTTAATTTCTCTGATGACTAATGACGATGAACATTTTTTCATGTGTGTGTTAGCCATTTGTATGTCTTCTTTGGAGAAATGTCTGTTCATGTCTCTGCCCATTTTTTGATGTGATTTTCTGTTTTGTGTCTATTAAGTTTGAGGAGTTCTTTATTAGATCTTGGATATCAGCCTTTTGTCTGTAGTGTCATTTGCGAATATTTTCTCCTATTCCATGGGTTGTCTCTTTGTTTTGTTGATTGTCTCATTTCCTGTGCAGAAGCTTTTTATCTTGAGGAAGTCCCAAAAAGTTCATTTTCACTTTTGTTTCCTTTGCCTTTGGAGACATGTCTTGAAAGAAGTTGCTGTGGCCTATGTCGAAGAGGTTACTGCCTATGTTCTCCTCTAGGATTTTGATAGATTCCTGCCTCACCTTGAGGTCTTTTATCCATTTTGAGTTTATCTTTGTGTATGGTATAAGAGAAATGTCAAGCATTTATTTAAGTGAGAGGGATAGAGAGTAGGAGAGAGCATAAGAGGGGAGAAGGCCACTGAGCCAAAGGCAGTGGCTTAACCAACTGAGCCACCCAGGCTGCCAAAAACATCAGCTTTTTAATGGATATTTTAAATGGATCTTTTAAAATAGTGATCCTGCTTTGGATATAAAGGAAGTAAGGACAGAGGATAAAGAAAAACAAACATCAAAAGAATCTGTGATTACATCAAGGTTTGAGAAAGCCCCTTCTCTAATTTCTCATCCTCTGCAAATGAATGATGACAGCCCTTCAAGTGGAATGGATCAGGATGAAGGAAGGTAAAATCTATAAATTCTTTATTTCCCTCTGAAGGAATTTTAACAGTGATTACTTTTTATGGAAATAAAATGCTGTAGTCTAGGTACAGGCGAAGACAAGAAATACTCAAGTATATCAGACACACTGCTTGAAAGGTTAAGATGAGGACAAGTGACTTTGACAAGGAGCAGTTTCAACAGTCACCATGGAAGCTGGACTGTAATGAATAAGTATAAAGAACTTCTTGGAGAATTTTTATGGGGAAAGGTAATAGATAAGTGGATGATAACTGAAAAAGAATGTGGAGTTCAAAAGAATTTTCTTTATTTTTTAATTTTAAGATGGGAGCTTTTAGAATACCTTTGTATGCTCCCGGAAATGATCCAGTAGAGATAGGCATGGTTATTTCATTTAATTTTGTTCACATTTCCAAATGTTAGAAAGCTTATTGATTGTATTACATTCTTTTAAAGATGATATAGTAATTGTCCTTAGTACTCCTATTCATGTAGTTTTGTGTCAAGAAATTGTTTATTCAGAATTGGTTCCACAGTGGAGTATTCTCATAAAATTGAATATGCAGATACTATCATTCATTGATTTAAAACTATACATATAATAGTAAATATACAAACCTTGGGCCATTCTGAATAGAACTAATCATTCCTTGATAATTTTATTTTTTATTTTTTTAGATTTTGTTTATTTATTTGACAGAGATCATAAGTAGGCAGAGAGGCAGGCAGAGAGAGAGAGGAAGGGAAGCAGGCTCCCTGCTGAGCAGAGAGCCCAATGTGGGGCTTGATCCCAGGACCCTGGGGTCATGACCTGAGCTGAAGGCAGAGGCTTTAACCCACTGAGCCACCCAGGCGCCCCCATTCCTTGATAATTTTAGATATTCAGTGCCTTTGACAGTATCATGAATGGCTATCGTTTTATTAGGGACTTTGAATTATCTGGTTATATTTACTTAATATTTGTTTACATTCTGGGGGAAGGGGAAAGATTTTATTTATAATTGAAAAATAAACTATCAATCTATCATAGATTATTACTTTTGGTTTATAAAGTTCTAAATTACAAAAGCCGAAGATTCCTGTACCAACAGAGTCATTGACACATATATAGTATACTCAATAAGTGTCTGTTTGTGAATAAACAGTTGAATATATAAATGAATGCCCATTGATCAAGTCCTGTAGAAGAAGCAAATCTTGAGTTGTTTAAAAGTAGATTTTCAATATTGCCTACATATGAAGTCTTTTTATTTTAAAAAATAGTTAAGATTTATGAATTATTATTTACAATTATAGCTAAAAATGGAATACTAATAGATTCATTTGCTATCAGATTACTTAAAAACACTTAAATATTACTTTCACCATATACTGTAAAACATGTATTTTGAAGGCACATTTTCTGGATTTGAATTCTGGGTCTACTCCTGACCACCTGTACCAGCTTTGGGAAGTTACTTTTTTCTGTGCCTCATTTTCTTCCTGTGTAAAATACCTAATATAATTACCTACATTTTGTAAGATTGTTGTGAGGCTTAAAATACCTTTAAAACATGTGAAGTTTTCATAATAATGCATAGTATTTACACAGTAGATCCTCAAAACACTAATATCATGATTATTAAAAAAGGGTTTCTTCCATATAAGAACTTAACTTGCACTTTCCAAATAGTTTTTAGAACCAGTAAAAGCTTGTTTTTATTGAAAATGACAACAAAAAATGTGGTATATTTCTTTGTATCAAATAATGCAAGTAACATTATGATTTTCCTTTGCTCAGTTTGATCTAAATTTAATGCTTTGTTAACATTATTAATAATATAGTAGATAGGATTTAGATATTCCTTGTATTTTAAGTATTTAATATATGCCTGAAAAGAATTGGTTTTTTTTTAGATCTGCAAAGAAAACATCTAGTGACGAGGAAGAGGTAAATATATATATAGAAAAATTTTTTTCTTTTTTTAATTTTTAAATTTTTATTTTATTATGTTATTTTTTAAAAGATTTTATTTATTTATTTGACAAAGAGAGAGAAATCACAAGTAGGCAGAGAGGCAGGCAGAGAGAGAGTGGGAAGCAGGCTCCCCACTGAGCAGAGAGCCTGATGTGAGACTTGATCCCAGGACCCCGAGATCATGACCTGAGCCAAAGGCAGAGGCGTAACCCACTGAGCCACCCAGGTGCCCCATTATTATGTTATTTTGATAAATACTGTTTATCAGAAATATTATTCCATGATAAAAAATTAACTTTAGGAAAGGTATAGTGAAAAAAGAGAAAATCTGCCTTTGTTGTACAGACATATACTTTGCAAAAGTTGTTCAGAAACACTAGTTATTGATAAAGGTCGTTTTGATAAAAATCAGTCCTTTTGAAAGTACCTTTTTTTGCTCTTATAAAGAGATACGGGTATTTATCATCTCTCTACAGTCAGTATATTTTATCAATCTTTAGGGGACATTTTGAAGTAGTATTATTTATTTGTAGGTCAAAAAGCAAATTGATTCTATGGATGACTTTGATGACTTAACTCCATCATCTGAAACAATTTCGGAGGGTTTCCACGTGCCTTGCTGTAATTATATGACTTGCATGTCGCTAATTGAACAACATGTCATGGATTGTAAAGGTAAGACCATCGTGTAAATATGAAGCCTTTGTATGTACATTACTATAGTAATATGTGCACTTCTTGTCTAGTGCTGTACCATACAACACTGATGTGTTATAGAGCTACTCATCTCAGAAATACGTTTTATATGAAAGTAGAGAAATGTTGAATACTCTTAGCCAAAGAGCTGTAATTTCCACTATACTTTTCGTCATGGGAATGGCACACCTGATGTGTGTTAACTCTCCTCTTCTGTGCCTTCACCCAAGGTCAGGTTACCACTGTATTTGTCCTAGAATACTGAAACAACCTCAGGACTGTTTTCCCTGTCATTCCACCCCCCAGAATCTTGGTCTACTCTGCAACCATAGTTACCATATATTTTTAAAAATTTATATTTCATCACGTGACCCCCTTGCTTAAAGCTTAGCTATTCTCATCGTTCTGGGCTGAAAGACCACAGTTCTCAGCCTCATCTTGGATTGTTTCATATCCTTCTTTCCGTGTCTCAGCCACTGTTTTAGATATTTTTCTTACAATAGAGCTCTTTTCCCCTCAACAGCTTAAGTTAGGACAACTGCACATGTATGAAGTGTATAATTTGATAGTTTTGACATATGTATATACATATGAAACCATAACTGTAATTCAGGCAGGTAATAACCCTTAAGTCTCGTGTCTCTTTGTATTCCCTCATTACGAAACTGCCGAATGGTTTTCTAAAGTAGTTGCACCATTTTCAATTCCCACCAGCAATGTCTGAGAGTTCCGATTTCTCCCTATATATTCATGAACACTTAGTATTGTCAGTTTTTTAAATCTTAGATGTTCCGATGGGTCTGTAGTATATGTATCATTATGGTTTTAATATATATTTCCCTAATAACTTATGATGTTGAGCATATCTTTGTGGGCTTATTTGCCATCTGTATATCTTCTTTGAACTGTCCAAATCCTTTGTCATTTAAAAAAATTAGGTTTTCATACCTGTTGAGTTTTGAGAATTCTTTGTATATTCTAGATATAGTTCCTTTATCACCTGTATTATTTTTTTTTGCAAAGATTTTCTCCCAGTCTGTGACTTTTCATTCTCTCAGCAGTATCTTTTGAAGAGCAGTTTTTCTTTTTGATGAAGTCCAGTTTATACCTTTGCTCTTTTATGAATTTTTGCTTTTGGTGTTCCTATATGAGAAATCTTTGCCTAGCACAAGGTCAGAGGTTTTCTCTCATGCTTTCTTTTAGAAGTTTTGCAGTTGAATAACAAAGTTTTATAGTTTTAGGTCTTACATTTAGATCTGTGATCCATGAGATCCAGTTTGTATTCTTTTTTTTTTAGATTTTATTTGTTTATTTATTTATTTGACAGAGAGGGAGAGCATGAGCAGGGGGAATGGCAGGCTGAGGGAGAGGGAGAAGCAGGCTCCCTGCTGAGCAGAGAGCTGGACACAGGGCTCGATCCCAGGACCCATGGATCATGACCTGAGCCAAAGGCAGCCACTTAACTGACTGAGCCATGCAAGCGCCCCCATTTTTAATTCTTTTTTATTTATGATACAGGGTATGGGTCCAGGTTTATTCTTGAACTTGGTAAGTTTACTTATTAGTTCTAGTAGCTTTTTAAAAAATTCTGTCAGATTTTTCTACATAACCAAAGTTTATCAAACTTTTTTAAACTACTAGTTTACTAATTTCTTAAGGTGGAGCCAAAGGTCATCAGTTTGAGGCTTTTCTTTTTTAGTACATACATTCAGTGCTATAAATGTTCATGTGAGTGCTGCTACTGCAGGATTCCAGAAATTCTTATGTGTTATATGTTCATTTCCATTCAGTTCAGAATATTTTCCAATTTCTTTTTTCTTTACTTCTTTGACCCAGGAGTTATTTAAAGATTTTATTTATTTGACAGAGAGAGAGAGAGAGAGAGAGAGAGCATGAGCTGGGGCGGGAAGCAGACTCCCCTCGAAGCAGGGAGCCCATTGTGGGGCTTGATCCCAGGACCCTGAGATCATGACCTGAGCCGAAGACAGACACTTAACTGACTGAGCCACCAAGGTGCCCTGACCCAGGGTTTATTTAGATGTGTGTTAATTAGATTGCAAATATTTGAGTATTCTCCAGAGATATTTTTATTCTTGATTTCTAATTTAATTTCTTTGTGGTCAAAAAACACACTCTTATGACTTCAGTTCTTTTGACTTACTCCTTTTATTATCATTTATTTTATGACCCAGAATATCATCTTTCGGTAAGTGTTCCATGGATGCTTGAGAAGAACAGTGGCGTTCAAGTCCACTATGTCCTTGCTGATTTTCTGCCTACTGAAATCTCAGACTATAATTGTGAATTTGCTTGTTCCTCTGAAGTCCTGTCAATTTTTACTTTATGTATTTTGAACCTATTAATAGGTGCATAAACATTTAGGTTTATTATGCTTCCTTTAGTTGACTGTTTTATCATTATTAAATGAACTTATTTATTGCTGCTAATGTTTTTTGTTTTGAAATCTATTTTGTCTGGTATTAATGTAACCGCTCAGGCTCAGCCTTCTTTTGCCAAGTGTTGGTGTGGTCTATCACATTTCTGACCTCTTAACACATTTGTAGTTTTGACATTTAAAATGCATTTTTTTTAAATAGGTGGCAGATAGCTGGGTCTTCTTTTTATCCATTTTGACATCTGCCTTTTCATGGAGGCCTTTAGACCATTTTCATTTAAGGTGATTATTGATGTAGTTGATTTGAATCTGTCATCATGTTGTTTGACTTCAATTTGTCCTTTCTGCTCTTCATTCCATTCTCTTCTTTTTCTGATTTCTTTTGGATTGAGCAAGTAATTTTTATGATTTAGTTTTATTTATGTGTGTATGTGTATATATGTATTTTGCTTACTAGCTATAACTCTTTAGTTTTGCTATTTTGGTGATTAGAGCCTAAAGTATATGACTTAAGCATCATAGTACTCCATCTAGTAATGTTATAACACATCATGTGTCGTTTAAGAAAATTATAAAGGTTTACTTCCTTTTCTTCACTCCTAGCCAGATCCTTCTGGATCTGTGGTTTTATAGTTTTCATTAAGTTTAGAAAGGTTTTGGCCATTTTTTCTTTTCTCTTTTTAAAGATTTTATTCATTTATTTGAGAGAGAGAAGGAGAAAGAGAGAGAGTGCACGAGCCAGGGGGGAGTGGCAGAAGGAGGGGGAGAAGCAGACTCCCCTCTAATCGGGGAGTCCAACACCGGGCTTGATCCTAGGACCCTGAGATCATGAGATCATGACCTGAGCTGAAGGCAGACGCCCACTGACGAATCCACTCAGGTGCCCCCGTCATTTTTTTCTTCGAATATTTTTTTCTAGTTCCTTTTCTCTGCCTCTTTGGGAAATTGTATATTAGCTTCTCACAGTTTTCAGATGTCAAGTTTCAGTCTTTTATTTTGAGCTGTCTAATATGTGTTTATTCCAATCCAGTGTGTTTTTCATGTCTGACATAATTTACATCTCTGTAAGTGCTATTTGGTTTTTTAAAAATTAGCTTCTATGCCTCCACATAAAAATCTTTTTATGCTTTCTTTGGAATTCTAGCTAAGTTAATGACAAACAGTTTGATCCTTTCCCATCCTGCTCTTATGAATTGTTAGGTGAATCCAGAGTAGTGTTGAGCCTAAAGCTCATAATTCCCCACTGCTGAGGCACAACCTACTTACTGTATTCATTGTGCTGCGGGTTATGAGTGTTTCCAGCATGGCTAATGGGGATAGATACTGCCCCTGGTGCCATGTGAGCTCCAGGCAGAGTGTCCTCTGCACTTTCCGGACGGATCTTTCCCCTGGTCACAGGAGATTTCCTTACGGGCATGCATTGGTTATTACTCTTCTGATCTCCGGGATTTGTTCTTTGTTCTGCTTTCTCCTCGCCAGTGCTTTGACCTGATCTCATCTGTCTTGGTTTCACCAGACTCCGTTTCATCACCTCAACTCAGGGAGTCTGGTGGAGTCTGTCTCAGTTTCTTCCCCTGTGTCATGGCCTGGAAATTGTCCCAAGGTAGTGAGCTCAGGTATGTGTTAGGCTAACTTCTTGTGTTTTCAGGGATCGTTGTCCTTCATTGCCTGAATTCCTTTTTCTTGAAAATGATTTTAAAGTGTATTTTACCTGTTTTTGTTTGGCTTTTTTCAGGTAGGAAGATAAATCAGTACCTGTTACTCCGTCTTGGCCAGAAGCAGATTGCAGTAGAACTTTGGCACATGCTACAGACCGTCTTTAATGCTCTCCCTCCTCCTCTGCTCACGTGCTTCCCGCTCCTCCTTCATTTCTCAGCATAGTTCCTCAGGGAAATATTCCCTTCTTACCATAGATCAAGTTATGTTCTGTAATCATAGAACTCTTTTATTATAGGAACTATCTGAATTTATAATTGTGTTCTCCTTCACTAGACTTTAAGCTAAATAAAAGCCAGAGATCTGCAGAGCTTAGTGTAATATCTTTTGCTTTTTAAAAAATTTTATTTATTTAAGAGACAGAGTGCATAAGCGGGGGGAGGGGCAGGGACGGGGGGAGAAGCAGACTCTCCACTGAGTAGGGAGTCCAATGTAGAGCTTGATCCCAGGACCCTGAGATCATGACCTGAGCTGAGGGCAGATGCTTAACCAACTGAGACACCCAGGCATCCCAGTAATATATTTTATATTGAAATCATTCAATATATATTTGTTTAATGTATGAATGAGTGAATGTGAAAGCATACAGTCCTTTATATGCCAAAAGTACTCATATATTTTATTTCTTTTTTTTTTTAATATTTAATTAATTTATTTGAGAACGAGCATGACTGGGGGTGTGGGAAAGAACAGAGCGGGAGGGAGGAAGGGTGGAAAGAATCTCAAGCAGACTCCATGCTGAGTGGAGCCCGATGCAGGGCTCGATCCGATGACTCTGGGATTATGTATGACCTGATTTGAAACCAAGAGTCAGATGCTTAACCAGCTGAGCCACCCCGGTGCCCTATATATTTTATTTGTTTTTGTTTTTTCTCTGATGTAGATTCTGTCAGTTTATTGAAAATCCAGAATGCGGTTCTTTCATATGGAAGATTAATAGAACTTAAAGAATATCACTGTGGACAACTTAAAAGAAAAAATAAAAAAATGGAAAATAAGGCTAAGGGACTACAAAAGGAGCTATCAGAAACAAAAAAAATGCTATCTAAGTTGGAGCTTCAAAAAGTAGAATGGGAGCAAGAACTCTGCAGTTTGAGGTATGATATCTTGGTTTTAAGGAAATACTTGAACTATTTACCTTTTTTTTTTTTTAATAGGCTCCACACCCAATATATGTGGGGCTTGAACTCAAGGGTGAGATCAAGAGTCACATGCTCTACCAGTTGAGCCAGCCAGGCACCCCTTGAATTATTTACTTTTATCTACAGATGCGTAGAAGTTTTGAAATTGCTAACTTGCCTTCTGGGATTTTATAGGGAAGAAAACTTCTTTAGTATTGTGAAGTATGAGATTCTTCAAAATAATACAGCAAGTTCTTAACAGTGAATACTTTTTTAATAATTTAATGAATATTCCAAATCATAATTTTAATGACCATATAGAAATCCACCATGTGGAAACCTCATTATTTACCAAATTGAATTTTGGGTTTTTTACCCCCATTTTTCTATACTTTAATTAATGCTGTAGGGAATGTTTTTTATATAAATCTGTTTCTACATTTCTGGTTACTTGGAATAAATTCTTTGATGTAGTGTTGTTTACTTAAAATATAAAAATTTTTAAAGAAGGTCTTTGATCCTATTTTTAAATTGTTCTCAGGGAATTTTATGGTAATTTATATGCCCATCAACAGAGTATAAAATGGCCATTTTTCTCAAGACAGAAAAATTTTTAAAAACTAGTTTTAAACATACACAGTGATTAAAAAGGGAAATAGGAAATGATTACTGCTAAGTTTTTTTCAGCATCTCTCTTATATGTTGATGAAATTAATTCAAAAGTCTATGATGCAAGCACATATTACTCTTTATTATTTACTTAATATAGATCCTGTGTTATAAAAGGAGTTCTCAAATGATTTATTAAATGGATAATAGGGGAAACAAATAATACATTATATGTTAATTAAGAAAAAGAAAAGGATCAGGGGCACCTGGATGGCTCAGTTGGTTAAGTGTCTGCCTTTCGCAGGTCATGATCCCGGGGTGCTGGGGTTGAGTCCCCCATTGGGCTTCTTGCTCAGTGGGGAGCCTGCTTTTCCCTCTCCCTCTGCCTGCTGCTCCACCTTTTTGTGTTCTCTCTATCAAATAAATAAAATCTTTAAAAAAATGAAATGAATAATAATCAACAAGGTAAATTGAGGGTATTGCAGAAGAAGAAACATAAAAATCGTAGGGCAACAGATATTCGACTCCCTAGCCTAGTCCTGGATCACAGTAGTCTGTGGATGTACGTTGTGTAAATGCATCTGCAGATGCTGTCTTACACTGCCATACCTGTGATAATTCGTGAAGTAGCAATTTACTTGTAGTGAATTATAACTTCTTTATAAACAGGAACTTCTCTTTTTAAATAATAACTAAATTATCTCTTCTAATGGAGGAGTAATTACGAGTATGTGGAAAAAACAATAATTTTCCATTCTTTCTTGAATAATTTCAAAATTCCTTTCCCTACAATATCTCCCAGAGATGTCTCCCAGAGATATTAGTACTAAGCAGCATAATGCTTTTTCATTGCTTCTTTTCAACTATATATATCTTTTGGAAGAGATTGAAGTGAGAAATTAAAAACATGAGCCCTAGAAAGGAAAAAAATTGAGAACATAGAAATTTCATTTGGATAATAAACCAGCATATGTGGCACCAGATCATAACATGAGCTTTCTATTGCTTACAAAACAAATTTTAAAATAAGCACATTTATTTGCAGATTTACTTTAAAACAAGAGAGAGAAAACAGAGGAAATGATGAAATGTTATATGAAAAGATTCAGGAGCAACTAACAAGAAGAGAAGAGCAGTATAAGAAAGAAGTTGAAATGAAACAAGAACTTGAATTTAATCTTAGAGCACTAGATATGGAATTGAAGACTGTAAGAAATAATTTCAATCAGGTAAGTCTTTGATAAAAATGGCATATTTCCATCACTATTATCTATAATATCCCTTGATTTAATGTATATTACTTAGGTATAAAATAGATAAAAAATTTAGTTTTATACTAATAGGAACTATGATATTTATAGCTAAAATCATTAATTTATTGGAATTCTTGGCTTCTCATATAAACCCTATGTATATTTTCTGAATGAAGGGATGGAGGGTAAATTGAGATAAATATGCATGTTGGCTTTTTTTTTTAAAGATTTTTTTTTATTTTTAGAGAGAGAGAGCATGAGTAGGGGAATGTGTAGAGGGGGAGGGAAAGAGAGGGATAAGAATCTCAAGCAGACTCTGAGTGCAGAGCCTGACTCAGGGTTGGATCTTAAAACCTTGAGATCATGACCTGAGCTGAAACCAAGAGTAGGACACTTAACCAACTGAGCTACCCAGGCACCCCAGTTTTGGATTTTTTGTATTAAAATATAGGCTAAATCACCTTGAGATTATGATGGAATTAAATGTTTTGTAAAGAAATTTTATTTCACATACTATATCTACCTATATTCACATACTATATCTACCTATGTATCTATGAAAATTTAGCTGTCATTTAAATTAAAATTTGAGTTATTCATGTAGGATAAAAATCCTTGTATTTAAAAAGGCGGCTACTTTTGAACATTTTTTTTAAGTTCTCTTAACCTTTTGACTTTTTTTTTTTTTAACGGTGTTATCCAAAATCCTAATGAAAATATGTCTTTAGGTTGTGGAAGAGCGGTATTATACTGAAAAACAACTTTGTCGAGAACAGGATGCCAGAATATTACAAGATGGAATTCTAAACAATCACCTTTGCAAACAAAAGGAGATAGAGGGGCACCTGGGTGGCTCAGTGGGTTAAGCCTCTGCCTTCAGCTCAGGTCATGATCTCAGGGTCCTGAGATCGAGACCCGCATCGGACTCTCTGCTTGGCGGGAAGCCTGCTTCCCCCTCTCTCTCTGCATGACTCTCTGCCTACTTGTGATCTCTCTCTGTCAAATAAATAAATAAAATCTTTAAAAAACAACAACAAAAAAAACAAAAAACAAAAAAAACCAAAAGGAGATACAAATGGATAACAAAAGGAGTTCTGGGGTATTTTCTTTAGTTATTTTGAAGTACATGTGTGTATGTATTTGTATGTATATATATTTTATTTTCTGAAATTATTGTTTTTTCTCCGTGTGTGTGTGTGTGTACATATGTGTGTGTGTATATATATTCTCCGTGTGTGTATATATATATGTATACATATATATGTATATATATATGTGTTTGTATATATATATTTTCTCCATGTATATATGTGTATATATTTTAAAAGCCAACACTGCAAGCATAGAGGATTTTTAAAGCATGCATATTTGAAATTGAGATTCAATTAAGTGGATTAACTTGACAGTCAGCTCCAGATTTCCCAAGTGAATTGAATAAAAAGTACACTATCTCAGTATTTTTATACATATATATGTATAAGTATATATTTATAGTATAAATCTATGTATATGTGTATATACATATATATTTTATATATTTATACATTTATGCAAACTATACATAGTAGCTTTATGTACATTTTAGGTTGGCATAATTTTATTCTTATTTATATAAATTTGAATTTTTAGTCTGAAATCATGTATTCTTATGACCTTTTAATCCTTTGAAGGCCCTTACTTTTCATTAAATCATAATTTGGGACAACTGTGATGAGCTTTAGCAAAACTATATTTGGTTTAATCTTCCCACTGCTATTTATAATTTTTTAAGCAATTTTACAAAAAATTTGCTCATTTCAAAGCTCAGTTACTATCATTTGGGCATAAGTTTGTCCAAGACAAAGAGAATTGTATCTCTGAAATTTATTAATTGGGCATTGGATCTCCATTTTCAGATTAATGAGAGGTGGCAGGATTCTTGTGTAGCAGGAATGGAGGTCAGGGAGAGAGGTGAAAGCCAGGTCATCTAGGGTCTTGAAGGCCATGAGAATGACTTCACTTATGTTCTGAGATAGTTATCTATTAAAAGGATTTGAGCAGAGGATTGAACATGTGAGGAACTCTGACATTAATTTAAGCCTCTAATAGAGGGAAAACATTTCATAATGTTACCAATTTACCAATGTTAGTCCCACCTATATACCCATTTCTTTTTGAGACTTCAGTAGATTGGGAAGCTTTGGGGAAATTCACCCACAAGGAAAGGATAGTGGGGCTGAATTAATTAACTAAGTAACATAATACTGACTAGGCAGGATAACATCTTTTTGTATCTTTAACCAAATTCATTAAACAGCCATAATGTGTATATGTTAGGAAAAGGAGATGAATTGATGCTTGTGAAATTTTCCAAGTACATAGGTTAAAGTTATATATTGTTAACATAATTTAATAGTAAGATGATTTATAAAACCAGTAACAGAAATGTCTTATTAGGGAGCTGTGAGACAACTTCAAGAAGAACTGGCCGATACCCGAAAAAAACTATCTGTGTCAGAGGCTTCACTGGAGGGGACATCACGTTGTCGTATGAATTTAGAAGATGAGGTAAAAGACTTAAAGGAAAAACTGGCTCAGAGTAGGAATCAGGTATGTATGCAATGTAACATGTCAAGTTAATCTGTAGTTGGTTAAATAATATGAAGTGTTTTAGGATGCTTATTTCCATGGACCACTTCCTTCTGTATTTTCATTATAATTAATTTAGTATAATTTTAGTATCTTCACAATGTACTTATTTCTTAAACTTTGACTTTCATTCTGTTATTTGTGTTATACATTTTTTTCTTATAGTAGTTACCCTCAGGAAAGTTGAAACTTACACATCATTCCTCACAGAAATTGGGACTTTTTTCCTACTAAATAATTTTTTAAAAAGACTTATTTATTTATTTGTGGTGGGGGCAGTCGGAGAGGCAGAGGGAGATGGAGAGAATTTCAAGCAGACGCCTGCCCAGCACAGAGCCCCATGCTGGCTTGATTCCATGACCCATAAGATCATGACCTGAGATAAAACCCTGAGTTGGATGCTTAACCAACTGAGCCACCCAGGTGCGCTAAATAATGTTTTTTAATGCTATCTCTGTTACCATCATGAGCTAAGCCGTGTAAAAGCAGAAGATAATGTTTAATAGAATATTTCAGAAAATTGTCTTATTTCTCATCTTCACTTTTTTGAATGGATACAGAATCTGTACTGATTTCAGGATAACTTGTACAGAGAAGTGATTTCACAAACCAGTTGAACTTAGGCATTTCCTTCATGATCTGATGAGAAGTTAGGCTCAAAAAGCTAGAGTCCTGTTTCTTTTCGCCATTCATATCTTTATTCTCTCACTCAGTCCTTGCATATCCATTTTCATCAAATCTTGGTTGTAGGATCTGCTGTCTACTATTTACTTCATTATGTTTTATGAACTTGTTATAAAGTGTAGACTCATCCATGAATTTCACCATCTAGGAAGGAAAAAGATGAACTCTGGGCCTTTAGCTTTCCTGTCTTGAAATCTTGCTAATCCAAAATTGCAACTCACAATTAGATACTCTTTTGACCTGGTTCTTGTGTATAACACTGGTGTTGATCCTGTTCTTGGCACAGATCCTACATTCTCAGAAAACACAATTGTCTTTATCCGTCTTCTTTTAGTTTAAATAGAAAGATATGTACTTTAATAGCTCAATACATAATTAATGGAATAAACATTTATTCCATTATTTCAAGAATACAGCTGTAAATTATCAGGTTTTATTTAATGGAGTTCTCAGAGACAAATAGTAGATAATCAGTTAGAATTCCAAAAAAAAATTTCAAAGCCTGTTTGTATGATATGGGAAAGCTTTGTGGCACAACATAAAGATGAGATGGTCTTACTTACCTCCCCACGTAAAGAAGCTTGGAGTAAGATAAAGGAGAAGTTATATTCAATTTAAATAATGCCAAAGGACAGTACCTTTGGTTTTCTACTGAAAAGATTGAAAATGATTCCATAATGTTCTCTTTATTTCCTCACTGATGAAAGCAGAATAAAGATGGAGTATTAGATTGATTAAAAAAATACTCAAAGCCGCCTATTTCTTTTAGAATTTCAGTTAATGGAAATCAGGTAAAAGGTCAAATTTTGGTTATTGAACCATTTCTAGTTTTTCAGCTATTATACTTCAAATCATATTGTCTCTCTGCTTGCAAGTTTTTCTTTTCCTCTAACTTGAGGGGAGAATCTGAAAAGGTGTTCCTGCCAGTTGTAATAATTTGTAATTGAAGGGAAACTTAGGAAAATATCTTAAGAGAAAAGAAGATGGTGGCAGAGTAAGAGGAGCCTAGGTTCACCTAATCCCTGAAGACTAACAGAACAAAGTCCACTATTAGAGAGAAGAGGCCACACCAAAGAAGGTAGGAAGTACAGAGATGTGGTTTAGGAGAGAAACAGATCCTGGCTGCTGCAGAGGAGAGGGAGTCATGGTCATGGAGAAGGGCAGGAGCGAGACACGAGACTGTGCAAAGAGAACGTTTCCCTGTAGCCACTGGCTACACTGGAAAGTGAGAGGAGCTTGATTTCATGAGTTCTTATAACTAGGGGGGCTTAAAACCTGGAATTCTAAAGGTCATTGGGCTAGGCTGGGATAGAGCTTGTAGTGCACTGTGCTGCTCTTGGAGAAAAGGCAGGCAAACAACCCAGGAGCATACAGCATGGAAACAGTGATCTGAACAGTGTCTGGGGCATGCAGTAGGGAAATTACTCACTCTTCTCAGAGCATTTCCCTGAGAGGCAGTGTTCACAGAGACCCCTCTCTAGGAACAAAGGAACCAGCTGGTACCATTTCCCTCCAGTGCCCCTCAGCACAAGCACAGAGCCATCTGTGGGAGGCAGTGCAGCTCGGACACTGGCTGCCTAATCTGCTTACACCGAGCACCATCCCCTTGCACTCCAGTGGAACTGCCCTGCTCAGTCATTCTTGCCTCAGTTCCACCACAGCATGCTGCACACACTAGAGATACTTACTTAAGCACGAGACCCTGGGCGCTACATGACATCTTTTTTCATAAGTCCATTACTTTCAGGAGCAGATGACATAACTGGCTTTTCTAACACAGAGAAGCTGGTAGAGACTTAGATAAAATGAGTAAACAGAGGAATTTATCTCAAATGAAAGAATAGGATAAAGCCATGGGTCCAGAGATTGAAGGGAGACAGATGTAAATATCATGCCTGTTGGAGGATTTAAAGCAGTGATCATAGGGATACTCACTGGACTTGAGAAAAGAACGGACAATATCAGTGAGACCCTTACAACAGAGATAAAGAGTTAAAAAAGAATCAGAGATGAAGAGTGGAATAAATGAGTTAAGAAACACACCTAAATGCAATGAACAGCAGGCTGGAAAAAAACAGAGGAACAAATTAACAACTTAGAAGTCAAAGTAATGGAAAGCAATGAAGCCAAAGAAGGGAGAGAAAGAAGAATGATGCAAAATGAGACCAGACCTAGGGAACTCAGTGACTCCATCAAATGTAATAACATTCATGTTATAGGAGTCCCAGTAGAAGAAGAGAGAAAAAAGGTGTAAGAAAATTTATTTCTAGAAATAATAGCAGAAAATGTCCCTAATCTAGGGAAGGCAAGAGACATCAAGATCCAGGAGACACAGAAAACTATCAAAATCAACAATAGTAGGCCAACACCAAGATCTATTGTAATTGAATTTGCAAAATATACTGATAAAGAAAACATCTTAAAAGCAGGAAAGCAAGTCAGTAACTTCCAGGGGAAACCCCTTAAGTCTAGCAGGAACTTTTTCAGCAGAAACTTTGCAAGCCAGAAGGGAGTGGTATTATCTATTCAACGTGGTGAATGGGAAAAATCTGTAGCCAAGAATACTCTATCCAGCAAGCCTATTACTCAGAATAGGAGAGATAGAGTTTCCCAGATAAAAACTAAAGGAGTTTGTGACTACTAAACTAGCCCCACAAGAAATATTAAAGGGGACTCTTTGAGTGGAAAGAAGAGACCAAATGTGACAGTATAAAGGCAGGAAACACAAAAGTAGCAAAAATGAACATTTATATAAAAAATAAGTTAAGGAACTCAGAAAAAAAGGATATAAAATATACTACTTTACCTAAAGCATGGGGAGAAGAAGAGAAAAGAATGGGATCAAACTTAAAGACCAGCAGCTTAATATAGACTGCTATATGCAGAAGAGGTTATATACAAATTATATATCAAAACCCACTAATAGTGGTGTCTGTGTGGCTTAGTTGGTTAAACATCTGACTTGATTTCAGCTCAGGTCATAATCGCAGGGTTGTGAGATTGAGCCCTGCACTGCACTCTATTCTGGCCATGGAGTCTGCTTAAGATTCTCTTTCCCTCTCCCCACTCCACTCGTGCCCTCTCTAAAAAGAAAACAAAACCACTGATAAACACTCAAAGAGGAGAAAGAAATCCAAATATATCACTAAAGAAAACCAGTAAAACATTGAAGACACAAAAAATGATCAGAGAAAATCTCCAGAAACAACCACAAAACAAGTAGTAAAATGACAAATACATATCTATCAATAATTACTTTGGATATAAATGGGGTAAGTGCTCCAATCAAAAGACATAGGATGTCAGAGTGGATTAAAAAGAAGAAGAAGAAAAAAAAATAAGACCCATGTATAAGCCACTTGCAAGAGTTTTATTTTTGTCATAAGGACACCTGCAGATTGGAAGTCAGGGGATGGAAAAAACATGTATCCTGCAAATGGATATAAAAAGAAAGCCAGAATAGTAATACTCATATTGGACAAAATAGAGTCTAAAAGAAGGACTGTAGTAAGAGACGAGAGCACTATATCATAATGAAGAAGACAGTCTGACAGGAAGAAGAACCATCTATTGTAAATATTTATGCACCCAACATGGGATCACCCAAGTACATAAAACAATTAATGACTAACATAAAAGAACTAATTGATAATAATACAATAATACTAGGGTCCTTTAATTTTATTATATATGTTTTAAATGAAATTCATTTCTTTTATGCCTAATTGCAAAAGTATCCATGAAGACAATGTACAATTCGGATATTTTAGGAACAGAAATAATCAATGGTTGGGTAATTTAACACACCACTTACATCAATGGACAGATCAGAAAGTCAAAAAAGAAACAGTGGCTTTATATGATGCACTGGACTAGATGGACTAAGGAGATATATTCAAAATATTCCATCCTTAAACAACAGAATACACATTCTGGAACATTCTGTAGAATAGATCACATATTAGGCCACAAAACAAGTCTTTTTTTTTTAATTTAATTTAATTTTTTTTCAGTGTTCCCAAATTCATTGTTTATGCACCACACCCAGTGCTCCATGCAATACGTGCCCTCCATAATACCCACAGAACCGGTCTTCATAAATACAAGAAGGTTGAAGTCATACCATGCACCTTTTCTGATCACAATACTATTAAATTAGAAGTCAGCCACAGGAAACAATCTGAAAGACCACAAATACATGTTGGTTAAGTAACATTCTACTAAACAATGAATGGACCAACGAGGAAATAAAAGAATAAATTTTAAAAAAATACATGGAAGCAAATGAAAATGAAAACACAATTGCCCAAACTTTTGAGATACAGTAAATATGGTTCTAAGAGGGAAGTATATAGCAATACAGGCCTACCTCAAGAAATAAGAAGAATCTACAACAACCTAATCTTCACCTAAAGAAGCTAGAAAAAGAACAACAAATGAAGCCTAAAGTCAGCAGAAGGAAGGAGATAATCAAAATTAGAGCAGCAGTAGTAGTAGGTAGCTCAGTTGGTTAAGCAGCAGACTCTTGATTTCAGCTCAGGTCATGATCTCAGAGTCCTGGGATTGAGCCCTGCTTCTGGCTCTGTGCTCAGCGGGGAGTCTACTTG